TCTCCAGGTCCTGCTCAGAACAGGTCCAAGTAGATGAGGTTGCTCAGAACCATGGCCAGTTGAGTCTTGGTATCTCCAAGGAAGTAGACTGTACAGCCTCTGGGAAACTTGTGCCAGTGTTTAATCAGCCACATGGTGAAAAATTGCACTGTAGAAATGTTGCTGGACTGGGTTTTTCCTTTTGAGTGTTTTTCTTCTGGTTGTAACCCTGTATTCTGCTTGGCATGTTTTCATCTCTGTTTAGCTTACTGGTTTAAAAAATACTATCTGGAAACTCCCATATAAACCACAAAAAAATTCAGTATTTTAAAACAAGAAGCAATTCCTTTCATGACTATTCTACTTGTTGATATTAAAGGCTTCTTGGTTTTATAAACTAGACCTTCAACTTTTGAATCATCTTTTGGACCTCATCCTTCCAGGCAGAATGTCATCTCTGTGTGTATCGTTAACACAGCCAGCCAAGAGTAAAGGCTTTCTCCAGAGAGCACACAAGGACCTTGGAGCAGGGTATGCGATTTATCTGGAAAACAACTCAGAAAAAGTAGTTTATTTCTTGAAGGAGAAAGAAAATAGCACACTATTACTTGGCTTATCATTTTTTGGCAGGTTTAAGTGTATTTCTGCCAGAAAAACAGTGAATGTGATTATTCAGTAACAACAGAGAGGTGAGACGAAATTCTTGAGACTGGAATCAAAGCTTTCATGTCTCTGTATTTATCATCTTTGTTTATCTGTTGCTTTAAACCTAACCAATGTTGCAAAATAGCTTGCATATTCCTGAATCAAGATTGTGTAGTGCTAAATATTCTTTACCCAACACTGGTGGAAATCGAGCATAAGAACTGCAGAAACAAAGAGCCCTGCAGCTGCAGCTGTTGGTGTGATCTCTGCTATGCTTTGAAGTGGCCTAACCACCCTGCCTGACCTGGCCAGCTACACAAGATGGGATGAACTAGTGAAGTATCAATTAGCAAAGAGCAAACCAGAGCTCTCTGGCTGCAAGGCATTGTCAGAGATTAGAAGACCACTCACCAATGTAGTTATGCTCGCCTGCCTCCCCAGGCAATGCAGTGTGTGTCAACCACAGCAGTTTTCTCTCAGTTACATTACATCACGACCATTCCCAGTGTAGCTACGGGTGCTGACTTCTGCACAGTGATGGTTTAAAGGTAGGACACTGATCATTTCAGAAACTGTGACCGTATGACATGGACAACTGAGTGAAATCTGTATCTATATCACTGCCAAAGTTGAACCTGGGATGTTAGCACAAATTTGCACCAATAATGGTTGTTATTAGCACATTAGGCTAAAGGCTGGGGTGGATCAGAATCACAGGATGTCCCTGTATAACCTTGGAGAGAGAAGCATGGCTGTTAGCTAGGTATGACAGCATCCCCTTGACTTTAATCCATGATGTAAGTAAACAAACAGATTTTTTTTCATCAGCAAAGCCAATGAGCCCTCAGAACTTTTGTTGGCATAAGGGGTATTAAGGAGGGTACAGACAATCACTGTAGCTTGGCGGTTCCCAGTCAAAGAATACGTCTCTCAGAAATACAGCCTGCCAGGGACAGTGACTCAGATGTCTGCTGTTACTGTGCCATGTACTCACACCCGACAGTGAATGGATCCAAGAAGCCACTATTTCTGAACTGGGCACCAGAACTGAGAAAGAAGAGGGTCTTGCCCTACCTTCACACTACCCCCTCACCTGTACCTTCCCGTTTACTCAGAAGATGTGTGTAGAGAAAATGCGCAGGTATCGTACTCACTTATTGTAAACGATGAGAGAACTTCCTGCTCAGTGGCACGCAGGAGCTGAAAAGAGGATATTGCACTGGGAAAGTAATTTATGAAGAGACTGGGGTAAGTATTCTCACTTCCTACAATTCCTAGCCCAGGTATAACCTCTGAGAGCAACTACATCTAAGGTCAAACAGGTGGTGAGTGCTTTAGAGCGCCTTGTTCTCGGGGCTACAGACTCCGTCTTCAGGGACATCCGTCAGAAAACTACTCCCAGTGTCTACTCCAGCAGCACAGTCCTAGCTACAGCTTTTCTTTTTATGCCATATTTCCAGACCTAAGCCTATTTGCATATTTTTTTCATCTGAGAAGCAAGGTTTGCAGCTGAGGCTGTTCTGGACTAAATCCAACACCGATGGCTTTTAAATCAACATGTTGCTTAAGTAGAATGAGGTTTCCTTTAGCATGCTTTTGATTTTTAAAACTTTCAGGCCTTGAGGAGCTTGGTGTTAGGAGGATGGTTCCCTTCACTGCCTGGAAAGCATGAGACACGCAGAGCAAACAATAACATTGGAGTAGTTGTCTCTCTAGTTTCAGGTTTTCCTTCAGATCCATCACAGCTGCAGCAGCGCTTCCGCATGGCAGTTGGCCAGCTCTGCCAGCACTCCCTACTCATCATCTCTCTGGACTTGCATTCTCCACTAACACAAAAGTTTTCATTTATTTTCTGCTACAAGTTCCACATGTTTTGGAGCTAAAATTCTTCCCCAGAAGGGGGCAAACCTAAGTGGCCACTTGTCAGTCTCCCCACCGTAAGAGGAAAGGGTCATTTCTCATTTGTTCTGGGTTTTGACTGGAACAGCCCACCACCAAGAACCTTCCAACTGTTCCATTCCTTCCTGGTGGACCCAGGTCAAGCCTGGTACAGATTTTCTGTCTGCTTTTTTCTGTATAACAGCAACAAGCACCTGATGGGACCATCCAAAACATCAGAGCAGAGGCCATGAGGACCTCTGCCTTACCTCCCCACCTCCAAAGGTGCAGCAAACGTGGGGTGGAGGTGCTGTACATGAGCAAAGGGAGATGGAGTGGGAGCAAGTGGTGAGGATGAGGCTGAGGCCATGGTTGCAGCTTTTCACAGCAGCTGGCATCACAGCAGGACATTTCTGTCTCATACTAGCTGAAACCAGTCACTGATCATTCCAGACCATATAGACATGTAGTCATGTAGACTAGACCTCTAAACAGTGCCATTTCATTTCACTTCTAAAAGCATAGTCTTTTAATGGGAATTATTTTAAAAGCAACATAAAGAAAAGATTGATTATCTTCAGGTACTAGAAGGACTCAGTTCAGATTAATCTCTTCGCTTTCCTGGACTGCCAGGAAGTGCAAACAGACTTTTTCCTTAGAAAAGGAACTATAACCATACACTGCACATCTGCAAGAAAAGAACTGCTGCATAAAACAAAGCAAAACAACTGACCGAGGGACAGATTGAACACCAGGGGTTGGAATTACCTAGAACGGTAACCAACGCAGTTTGATTCGGATGAACTGTAGAGGAACAGGTATAACGTCCACTATCGCTTCTTCCTGCCGCTGAAGCAAACGCATACCGGATCCGAATAGCTGAGCGATCTGTTTGATACTCTAATTCTTCAAACTGGCGGTCCTATTTCAACAGAGATTCCCATTTAGTCAGTTGACAGTGCCCAGTATAAGGTGTTTTAAAATATGCCCTGTTGTCTTACCAGCGCAACTTCTTTGTTTTCAAAAGATAATTTTATTCCAAATTTATAATTACGGTAAACAGCTCTGCATCTGATCAGCAATGGTTCCCCAACTTTAAGAAGTAATTCAGGTAAAGGTGCTGCTTGTCTTTCACTTAAATCTACAAAATCAAAACATAGTCACTGAAATAATTGTTATTTTGCCTGGAAAAATGCTCGGTTAGATGAACATTTTTTCTGCTAACGCTATATAGACATCCATTCTTACACTGTAATGATAATTAGAATTTGGGAAAATAACTCATTACTCATGAAATTCACAAATTTGATTGATTTAGATGTCTCAAACCAATTTTTGTCATAATTTAAGAGATATCTATAGGGCACAGTTCAGCACAGAGCTGAGCTCAGCTTAGGTTTGTTTAAAAAAACAGACAAACAAACATGAATTTATAAATCCATTTACAATTATTTATAAATTTTATATATTTAAGAACATTTGGAAGGACGTTTCACTGCAAGACTGTCCTAAAAGCATTCAGAAAAAGATCACAAATATTTAGAAAATGTAGAAGGGCGAGACATTTTTTACAGAGACCACAAATAGCTGTTAGAATTTAAGGTCTAAATGTGAGACAGAGCAATCACATTCACTGTTAGATTTGGTCCAGTGATTACAAACAAGTAGCTTAGCCAGGAAAGCGTGCTCAGATGAGCAGTGCAACTAATTACAGTGGCAGGACCCAGCTCACGTGTAAGTAAATCTTAGAGGGAAGTTACCTATTGTAAAGAGGCTGGTGCATTCTCTGCCCAGGTCATTAACTGCACAGCACCACACATAAGTTTGAAATAATTCATGTTGCACCGTCTGTATGCCATCTATTTCCCCAGTTTCTCCGTGCATTTTATGAGGGCAACTGCAATTATAAGCACAATTATTCATTGACTCATTTGGTTAACCTTAAGCAAATTAATCTGATAAACCTCCAAGCCATGAGAATATGCAAACAATAGTGGGAAAACTGGATCTTACATAGCTGAATAAAAAGGAACTAGAAAAGGTGAAGATAAGAAAAAAAAATGTCACAGCCTAGGCAAAAATATATGAGCTGAAATGACCTGAATACGCTCAAGCTGGCTCATAGACAGGTAATGCTGTGACTAAAATCCGGACCAGAGTGAAATCATAGAGGTTGAACTTTCACACCACATCTCTAAGTTCCTGGTGGTGGGAGCTGCTGCAAATCCAGCAGCCATTATGAGACCGTGATCCCAGACTGCCAAACTGCCACGAAAG